TTTGCCTCTACATTTCAGCCTCTGGTCATAGGGGCAGAACTGTTTCATCTAGTGGATGAGCAAACGGCAGCTTGTGGCCAAGTCTATAAATAGATATTGTTTTTGGAGTGGGATCAGCTGTGCCAGGATGTGCCCTGGAAGAACAGATCCACTTCACTAGCATCTATAGATGCCACCAAGGCCACTGTTCTGCAGGATTGGGCCCATGCTGCTCCCAGGGTTTCATCCTGCACAGATGCGGCCCTGAGCTGAGGAGTGGCAGAGATACATGCACTACAAGAATACCTCGTGGGAGAATTCCCAGGGCATGTATCTGTGAGCATCAATGGTGCAAGAGAATTGCCAAGGCATGCATCTGCAAGCGTCACTGGTGTAAGAGCATTCACATGGTACACAACGGGCAAACAAATGTCCTCCCATTTAAAGAATCATAAACTGTGATTACCTCTGGTCCCAGCAACATTTTTGGGCACCTGAGGCATGACAAAGGGCTAGGATATCTGTTTGCTCATGAATTGTGCCACAACAAAAAAAAAAACTATGGTGGCACAAGGGCAATGTCCTGTTTGTACCCTAAGTTACCCTGCTATAGTGATCTTATTACCCACTCTGGATGCATAAGTGTCCCCGTTACAGGATCACCCTCCAGAGGTGTGCAGACATTTCCCTATTCCTATAATGGGGCACTTACACACCCAGTGGGGGTAAGAGAATCGCTCCTACACTTCAGCTAGGTTACACAAAGTTGGTCACAAGCTGCAGCATGGGTGACTGGTGCCACCTTAGTCAGGGGGGCACATGCCCCCCCCCCGCCCAGTGACCAGTCAGTGACCGCAGCCAATCTTGCCAACTGGGAGAGGGGCCTACCGCAGCTAATCTCGCCAACCGGGGGGTGCCCCCGCAGCTGATTGTGCTGGCTGGGAGTGACCACAGAGCTCCTGGAAACAGCCACAGTGCTCCCACTCCTCAAGCAGTGCTTGCAGGGGGGCCACCAGTGCTCCTGCCTGCCCCCGCCTGCCGCCTAACCGAGGAACACTGGGTGTCAGGGGGGGGTATGTGCACCCCCAACGTGCCACCTCCTACGCGTCGCCACTGAGCTGCATTTTGGACAACCACTAAATGAAACAGAAGGGTCCTGACAATTTTATCAAGTCCAAGCTTGTGCAGCTTACAAACTCCACTGGATTCACTAGTGAAGCTTGTAAGTTCCCTGAACCATAACTAATGGAATTTTGGAGGCATAAAGGGCTTTAACATGTCTTAGCTGAGTGCTGAAATGCTTGCAGTATTCACAAGCACCATCACTATTTGATTCGAATGTGTAAACCTAAGATGTTTATAAAATATCAGCTTCTGCTTCCACAGGTGAGCTTGTAAATTCTTGTAACCAAATAGCTGCACAGCCATATATCTACCCGTGTACATTCATATCATGGTTTATTGCCCATCCTCAGTTTTATATTTATAAAGGTTTATCATTTTCTCAAGCTCATTTCTTCTTAAATATCAAAGCATTAATTTCTCACTAAAACTGGTTTTATGTGGCTACCATGTTTGAACTCACAAAATTTACTTTTTGAAGCTATCTGGGAAAATCAGCTATAGAAGAAAATTTAAGTAAAAATGTTTTCTCTATTATTTCATAACTCTGGAAACGTGACTGCTATTTTGCTTAATACTTTGTTTGTTCGTTCATCAATACTTGGTATCAGGTGTAGCATGCTTCAGAGCTTATTTAATTTATAATGTGCATATGGCTGAAGGTCTTTTTTCTGGGATAAATGGATTCAACAGTGCATCTATGTTTATAACTTCTAAAAATAGCTGTTTATTATCACACTAGCAATATGGTGCCATTATTATAATGACCCTATAATTACTATACTTCTTACACATGAGAAGACAAAGTCCTTGCCCTGGAGAGCTTGCTCTCAATATTAAATGTAACAAAATTCACCCAGAGTGGACTGATTACTTCTGGCACACATCCCACTCCAAATTCCTTTTTGAAAAGTTAACTTTGATCTTGCATTGCAATGGCTTTAAAATACTGTCATAGCAGGACCTCATCTCAAGAGCGATGGTTCTGTGAGTGCCTCTGATCTCACAAATATTTCCCTAAAAAAATACAACATTCTTATGGCACCACAAGCAATTGATTATGAGGGGGGCAGGAAGCAATAAGGAAACATCTATTGTATTTGTCAACAGTCATAGGATTAAACAGCTGCTGGGAAGAAACAGAACTTGCAGCATAGATGTCCACAAGCTTTCAATTACAAGAGTCTCAGAAACTCAGGATATTATACTGAAATGTAAACTAAACGGTCGGATATGGAGTTGAGGCCAAAGAGCATGAGTTAATGAAAGCTGGTGAGCAACAGACAGTTAACTGAAAGTAGGGAAATATTAGGAGGGGCTTGAATAAAGATGACAAAGTCTTTTGGTGCACTGTAGAAGGGCAGTTGTTACCAGCCTAAACAGCAGGAGGAGACTAAAACTGCAATAATGGAAGAGAAACTGGAAGAGTATAGGGCAGAAGAGTGAGTGCAACAGGAAGAATAGAGATGTAGGCAAAGCAGAGGACAGAGACAAGACACTGGTACAGGTACTCACAGATGGATAGAGATTTACATGAGCAGAGCAGGTGGCAAAGATTATCTTTGCCGCAGCATGTAGAGTGGATACAAGGGTTGAGATGTGAGATGAAGACTGAAGTAAAAAAAAAAAAAAAAAAGTTCACAGCAAACAAAGCAAGAACTAAAGATTTTGAAAGTAGGGAGCAGATACGAAAGGGCAGATTTTGGAGAAAAGGACTAGGAGTCTGCGATGACCCCTCCAACATTTTCAAGCTTGAGTGTCCAGAAAAATAATGGAAGTATTGATGAAAATGGAGAAGGAAAGGATTAGGATAGTCACAAACTCTTAAAAAACAAACATTAACCAACACAACCTGGTGCAATACACTGCTAAGTCTGTCTGCTTAGCAACACAGGTTGCCATGATGACAGAGACTGAAGCCATATCTCTGTCCTGATGTTCACAGACTTCTGAGGGAAGGCACCTCTCCCTGTCTGACCCTGCTGACTAATAAGACGAGACAGGATTTTCACAGAAGTTGAACCTATAGCATATGACTCAGCTGTGTAAGCAGTTAAGAATGGCAGTGGGCCCCTTCACTTTCATTATAAATTTCTTCAACTTGGTTTTCCCTCTATAGGTTCTTCAGATATGCGTGGACGCACACACACACACACACACACACACACACAAATATCTTAACATGCTATTTTTCCTAAAGGCTGGGAAGGCAAAAGAAAGAGACTGCTATTTTTATTTTTAGCTGTGTGGGAGGTACAGAAACTACGGTGATGGGAGCCATGTAAGTATATGCACAGAGGGAGGGAAGTCAATGTAGAAAGAAAAATTAGAAGTTCCATTTTCAGCTCTGTTTTGAGGAAGTGGTGGGAAATAAAATTAAAGGGAGTTCAGTCAGGCAGTGTTAAGGGAGGTCACTGCAACTGCAAATCCTAGAATGATCTTGCAACCAATATATCCAAATGATTTTAAAAATTACAATCCACCATTCTGATGTCACAACTGATTCTTACCATAAAAAGTTATGTTCACATCTTCTACCAACCACAAAATAACAACCTGCAAAATTCAGCGAGGCAGCCTGCAATACTTCTAAAATAGTACTCAAGGCTAAATAAGTGGCATATCACAGAGAGACAGATTTTAACAGTGAGAGCTAGAGGGACCTGAAATGCCACAAAATTGTGCTTGCCCTTTTCTGCTAAAAAACCCATCAGGGTTCTGTACTATCAACACCATGATCCTAGGCCAGCAAGCAGAGATAGACATGAGGACTACTATATCTGTATGAAGCCCAAATTAAATCCATGGGTGGATGCACATGTCTGTGCAAGAACACTTGCATGGCCATTTTCTATGTTTTTACTATTATGTCTTATATTTTGCTTTAAAAGAAAAATGTAAACTGCCTCCACATTGTTTTAACTCAGCCAGCACTTTACCAGCTCTGCATCTGTTTAACTACAAACAAAATTTAGCCTCTGTGTTTACAGAGGCATATAGTACTGTACAGAAGTAGCTTCAGTATATACACATGCTATATAGATATAAATATAATGATATATGACATACGTGTGTCTGTGTATGCATGTATAAAATATAATGATATATATATAGCACCTGTAGCAGTTATATTGTTTAAATTAGGTCCAGTGTGCTCAAACTGGGAACAGATTATCAGTCAAATTTATTTCTGTAGCTAATGCCCAGTAAAAATATAAATCTATACCATAATGCCTATCACTATAGGATAAAGTATAAACCTTGTCCATAGGAACCTGTAATTGTTCCTGGAATTTCTATGTATATCAGGATGCTCCGTAAGAGAATGAGCTGATATTCTACAAATGAAAGATGGGTCTGCGGGGGGAGAGAGAGAGAGTGTATGTGCATGTGGGTTAAAGATACTGATGCTGAACATAGACCCATCTTTGATTTGTAGAACATCAGGTCATTCTCTTATGGAGCATCCTAAATATAATCTCCAATTAAAAAAAACAAAACGGAAAATGAAAGCCTTAAGCTTCTTCTTACGGTAAGTGGATCGGAGTAAGATATCTGTATCCCAAATGCTATGCAGAAAGCCGCTGCAACGCCGACATCCGAACGCAGACAGTTTCACCTTCCACCAGCCCATAATCACATTACAGTGTAAAGCTCTGCCATATGTTTACAGAGATAGCATGTGAGCATCCAACCGGGCAATCATTAGTCTGAAGCAAAACGCAGGGGTGAGTGCTGCCTTCTGCATAAGGACACCTTCTGCCATGGACAAGGCAATCAGAGGGACAGATGTCGCAGTGATTTGGGGCTCACGCACCACCCGGGAGAGGGAGACCCACCCCTCCAGAACTAGCGGCCTGTTTGGGAAGTCCCATGGCTGGTGGATTGGCCAGGACTGGGCGAGGATGGGAGCTAACCACCCCCCCATCCCATTCCCTCCCCTCCCGTCTCCTCCCTCCACCTTCCTTCGGGAAAGAGCTGGGGCGGTTCATGAGACACATCAATGAGCAAAGAGCAGCCTTCAGGTCAGGCCTCCAACCCCAGCCCTGGCACATCACCCGGCGGCGGCGAGGGAAGGGCTCATGTGTCCCTGCTAAAAACAGATTCATGAAGGGGTGGGAGGGGGTCAAAAACAAAGCAGCTTCTCAGCGGCCCTGACCGTGCGCCCAGATGTGAGCTGATGTTGCCCCGCTCCCGCACGAGACTTGCTGAAACCAGGAGCCCCGGGGGCGAGGGGAGGGGTGTCTCCCCGCGGCCAGGCGGCAGCGCGCCCCCCGCCCGGCCCGGCCCGGCCCGGCCCCGCTCGGCTCTCACCGTGTGCGCGGCGTTGCTGGCCCGGAGCGGCGGCAGCGCGATGGGAGACG